TTATCTGAAAAAAAAAAGACAAAGTCAGGAACAGTTCGTAGAATCCTCCTCAGGGAAATTAGTTCAGCATGAGACTAGTTTGTAGTCTATACCCTTCACAGACACTGCCGTAACAAATATAGAGGTAAGACTGTAGGAAGGGGATATATCATTTACTAAGAGATAAAATAACTGCCAGAAGTTAAAAAAATCCAAGGCAATCTGTCCTGAACTTGCTCAGACACTAAAAGCACAGCTGACACTTACACTTGAAGAGTGTAGTTAGGTAGAAGAAGTTAGGTTACCCAGAAAACCTCAGAATTTTGAAGCCAGGAGTGAGGCAATTTCTAATCAAGAAAATATTAAAGTAGTGGCAAAAAAAAACCCCTCACAGTAAGCTAGAGAAGAAAAATTTCTAGTTTTAAATTTCTATCAGAGGCAAACTGGGATATCTAGTCTATAACAACCTGAAACTGAGACAGTCTTGATTTCTGGGATAGAAAATGTAATACACAGAAGGGATAACAAACGTAGTTATCTATTGTTTTAAAATCTATTTTTTCATGAATTCTCTTCTTCAGAGCATGTTCAAGTAGTGTTAGACCTTCCTTGATCTCAAGAATGCCTTTCAGTCTCCTGATAACAAGGGAATCAATTAAAATGAATGGAAAAAGAAGGATCCCCAATGGGTTTTTTCGTTCTTTTCTTAGGTCACACTCAGATTTATGCAAGGGAAGAAGTGATCTGAAAGAAGGAGGAGCAAATTCTCCCACTTTTCCCCCATCCCGCCCCCAAAATCCATTAGATGTTGAATTTAAAACCAATAAACTCAAATGACGTAGGATGGATTTCTACCGACATCCTGAAAACCTCACGCATTGAATAAAATGGACAGTTGCTTGCACTCAGGAAAGGATTATCTCATTTACATTTTCAAAAGGGATTACAGTGCCTTTAAAGGACAAGCATCTTTTGGGCTAATTAATTTTCTCAGACTAACTTGCAATGTATGGTGAGCACTTGATTAAATATTAATATGGGGTATGGGGTCACAATTTTTGCAATATTCTAAATCTGTTAGTGCATTGTTAGCGGGTTCAAAATGTAAGTACATGTGTGAATGTTTTTTGTGCACGTGTATATTTATGTGTTGTGGGAGAAGAGAGAAAACGAAGAGGACTAACAGACATTTGCAATATCTGGCTCCTGCTGGGGAGTACAGAAAAATCTGCGATAAATGAGCAGAACACCACACATTTAATCTCCACTGGTAACATGATGTGATTTTAGAAATCAGGAACTTCTGAACATTATGCATAGATATATACGTAGATATAGGATATTTAGTGTAAGCTTTTCACATAAACGTTCAAAAATCATCAGGCTGAAGAGTGAGGTACCTTAGATCAAGGAAAAGCCCCACACTACCCCCTAGTGATCAAAGTTTGGTGACCTCCAAATAACAGAAAATACAGTAAGTGGACTTTAGATCAGAAGAACAAAAAAATGCCCAGGAGCAATGCAAGCCACTGCTGGTGTTCTTTACTTAGGATCCTTTTTATGATAGAAGAATAAAGCAATGGCTGTCGAAAGGCTGCAACTTCCAATTCCTTGGTCTGAAGCTTCAGTCTTAGTAACCAAACAAATATAAAAATGTATATATTCAGAAGGAGAAAAAAACCCCTGAAACCTCAGGGGAGATATCTCAAGTGTTAGGATTTGTTAAAAAAAATAGAACAGAAGGTTTTATTGCAGCTTTATAGTTGCCAAAATATGTTTTTTCATTTTTTTGTACTACTTTCATTGTTTAGATATACTGATTTTTCAGCTATCATACACACAAATATACATTTCTTAGCTTTATATAATCTTGATATTCTACAAACCAAAAGCCAGGCCTGAAAGTAAAGAAGGACTGGTCTATGCATCTGAGACCAAAATGTGAATCTTAAAGGAAAAAAGGAATCACCACAGACAATTTCAGTATAACTTCAACTTTGTCATGTTTCACTAATTAAGAAAGTATTAGCTGAGGCAGGGTATATTCTAAGTGAAATCAATGGAGTAATTCGTGTGTTTAAAATTGAAAAGTACCTAAATTAGGGATTTTTTTATCTAATAAAGACGTACCAAGATAAAAATGAAAAGGGTTCTATTTTCATTTTGTCTTGCCATTTTTTCTTTGTGTGATAAGGTACTGAGTTCTTTTGGATTCTCTAACACGCAAGAAATCAGAAATTTATTTGCAGAAGTTCTCTGAGACTGATTCTGCTTTTGCGAACATAGATTTTATGCTCTATTCACAGGTGCATAACCTGCATAGGGAGCTCTCTTTTTATACATTACTTAATTCAAAGCCCTACAAAATGAAGATCTTTCAATATCTTTTGCAGAAGAGATGTTATGTATCCTCACCAGATTTCAATATGGTTAATTGCACTTGATCCATCATATGCTAAATTTTACATTAAATCTATTTGCATGGTATCAGAACCTCTCAAGTCAACACATGAAGTCCCATCTATAAGTAATACTCCTCTCTCCTTCCCAGAGGACACCCGTTGAGGTAATCTTTTTTATTTTTGTTTTCCTTTAGCAAGTTCTGCTGAGTGCGCATCCTCTTTTCTTTTGTTGCAGTTGTGTGAAAGCTTCATCCTTGCAGCTGACAACTTCATAATCTATGGGAAAGGGTGATAACGAAAGAGCTGGCAACTCTCAGTTTAGAATCATCAGGGCCATGGGACACTCTAAATCTGATATTCCATTTCATGATAGGCCACCAGTGTAAGACAGGCCATACAGGAAACAGTCAGCATTATGATGGAAAACATCAAGAGGAAAATAATGCTCATAGGAGGGGTTGGAAAGTGAATCAAAATCAGGCATTCAGGATTTCTTAGAGCAGATGCACTTCTCATCGAGATAGAGCAATATTATGTTAACAGGAGAGCAATAGCTGAGGCAAGCAGTAAAATCAAGGTAATAAGAAAGGCTGGAGGCGTGAAAAGGAAAATCCACAGCATAAAAAAGGAGAAAAGAGTAAAAAGAAATAAAATGCAGAGTTGTGCCACACACTGAAATCACCTTGGTGCAGTCTCAGACCCACAAAGAAATCCAAAATCATGGTAGGAATGAATACAGTTTAAAAACAAATCAAAAAAACCCCTCAATCCAAATATAAACCCAAGGAAAAATCAAAGATGTTTGAAGAAAAGAAACATCTGTTTTAGCCCTCACAGTCTAAAGGCCTCTCCGGAAGTGCATATTAACAAAAATTACCTTTAAAATGTTACTATTTATTATGGATTCATATGAAGTGAAAAATGAGAAAATTCATGCTGATCTGTTCCCCGTATCTTGAAAGTGATTTCTTTGTCCCATTTTTGGCACTGTTCTTGGGGAAAAAAAAAAAAGAGTAAAGGACTGATCCTTGCCCTAAGGCCAAGTGACACAGACTGGATCACATCCAAACTGCTTAGGGCTACCTCTCTCTAGAGAAGACATGTTGGAGAAAATTAGCTGAAGAGGTCCTAAAAAGACCTGGAGAGTAAGTTGAAAATTAAGCATGAGGCACTCGGGATTGTAGTGCTTGACTCCTCTGACTACTATTTACCTGTGCAGGCATATCTAAAAATTCTGTAATAAGCTAGAAGAGATAGCAGTAATTTTACCCAAAACGTAGCAATTTAAAATGGGTAGGAATTTTTTTTTCAAGGCACATGCTCTGTATTTGTACAGACAATGTAAGCTGGAGATTATAGGACTCTGTGTATTTAAGTTTTGTGATAAACACAAACAGTTGACAGGTTACTACTTCTGAGACTGATCTATTCAGTTATTAGATTCTTTTTCAATCCCTCGTGAAACTCTGACACAGCATCACAAAGTCTAAGGAATTCATACTTGTCATGCTCACAGGTACAACTCTAAGAATAAACAAGTAGTATATACATTTTAATTATTAATCCCTTTCCTTCTCACCTCCCTCGAGATTGATTTGTATCTTTTCCCATCTCCTTATATCTATATTTATTTTGTTTCTTACACACATGTTTAAATTTAATCTGATTGTGTCCTTAGGCCTGTTGTTGATAATTAAACCCACGTATTTTATTCCCTACAGCATGCATTGCAAACTCTGTCTCTAAAAACGAGTCTGAAGATTCTCCTTGATCTCAGTAAAACTATAGTTTGGTTTCCCTTCTGATTCATTTTGTATGGGGCATGGGTTTAGATTTTTCAGCTGGGGTAAATATGCATGCCTATCTTTAAGTCTAAAGCAGTTTTTCTGATTGATGTCAAGTGAGTATTTGACCTGTAGTTCAAACCTGTTAGCAAAGATGGAAACAGTAATCAAATGCCAGTGGTGTCTGGAACTGCAATTTTTTTTCTTTTTTCTTTTTTTTTTTTTGTTAGTGCTAAACTTATTAGTCACATACCAGCAGTTTCTTACTGTAGCAACCAGAGCTTTGAGGTTTAAGGTTTTCAAAAAAGTGTGGGGTGGAAGGCAGGAAGTGACCAGCAAATTTAAACATCTAGTTAAATATGTTTTACCAGAGAAATTTTTTCACTCCTTTTATGATGTCATACACTGTCCTAAGCTTTACGAATTCCAGACTCAAGGTTCTTCTTGTTGACAATACACAGACAGATCAATAGTAGATTGTAAACCTCATTCACCCATGTAAATTGGCACATCGAAGACATAGGAACTGTTTAGATGAACAATGCTTCGAAAACACCTAGGAATTTATAGCATTGTGTTTTTATGTTTGAAACCAATTATCACTTCAGTCTTCTCCAGGTAATGGCGTATTAGAACTATAGAATCATAGAATGGCCTAGGCTGGAAGGGACCTTAGAGATCATTTTAATCCAGCCTCCCTGCCACCAGGGACGCTACCTCTCGAGTAGATCAGGAAACGCATGGGGACCGAATGGGAATCGAACCTGCGACCTTAGTGTTGGTAGCACTACACTCTACTGACTGAGCTAACCGGCCCCCCTGAAAGGCATGCTGGCGTCACGGACAGGATTCGAACCTGTGTGGGGAACCGCCATTGGATTTCTAGTCCAACGCCTTAACCACTTGGCAACTGTGACTCCCAAATATTCATCCATTATGAAAGAAAAGACTGTTTAAACCACGGTCTTTGGACCTGAATATATTTCTACATGGCATATGAAAGCCCAGGGAAGGATCTTTCTAGAGAAACACAGAATTTATTTGAAATAAGTATATTACTAAACTTGTCAGCTTGGCAGAGAATTCAGAAAATATGTGTGCATGCAGAAACGTACATTTTTCTGATTCCAATAGATGTATTAAATGAAAGGTAAAACCTCTTTCTATGTACCTTTCTTTTCATGTATCATTAGATCCTCACAGCTAATCTACAAAGGTAGTGTGTACAAAAGCATATGGGTCAGTGAACAACAGTTCAGGTTTACAGTACAGAAAGTTAAAGAACTTCACTCAATATCATCACTAAAAGGAAACAATTCTGTTCATTCATTTTTATTTCCCCTTCCTGTGGCTCTGCTTTTTGAAATGCTATGCAAACATGTATCACATCCATTGAGTCTGAGCCCTTACCTTGCCACATTTTGATCCTATAAATAGAATCTGGCAGATTCTTTAGGTTGCTTCTTCTGACTTTTCCTTCATCTCTATTTTCAAAAGAATCTGAAAAAAAGTCCATGAGAAACTCAGAGAAAATATTTGTAATGGGCCACTGCAGAAAACACTGTAGTGATGGGACAATGGTTTCATGCAGAATCTCAGTAGGGTTTAACCATACATCTTGGCTTTAGACTCCTGTATGTTTTAACATGAGTGACTGCTGTATAACCTGAGCACATACTGTGACATTCGTACATGCCACCTTTAACAATACCACCTCTGCCTACTGCTTGTAGGAGCCCATTCCTGTGGAGATGTGTAATCACTCTCAGTGAATCTTGGTGCACCATTTAGAAAGTTCAGTATGGTGCAGGTAGCAGACTGTAAGCTTTGCATGCTCAAAAAATCGCACAAAGATGAGGAGAACATCACCAGGGAGTGGCTTGCTCAGCGTGGCGTGCTCAGAGTGAAGAGACTCATCTGATGCTCCGTCACCTGGGGTTCCCAGAATAAGAAAGGACGTATGATTGCTATTACCTTTTCCGCTAGTTTTAACCAATTTTGAGTATCCATGTCTTTCTTATGGCATGGATCCCAAAGGATCCCAAAGTAACTGGCATCTCCTTGGTGCAAATTGGCATTGAAGAACTAAAGGCAAGTGCAGAAAGCACTATTCAGAAACACATAGTCATTTTTTTCCTGGAAATCTCCCTTGAATATGAGTGCTCCTGAAGCTCCCATGTTATTGTCATTATTCACTTCCTTTTGTGATTTTTTTTCCTGTTTAGCTGTTCCAGATACTATTGTACATTGGACACCCCTGGGCTGATGACGTTATTGGCCAAGTTATCACTAGTGAGAGACAACTCTCCCACAGAGTCATGGCCCTAGTACTGAATATCAGAAACTCGTGACTTTCTTTGTATTTAGTCCATGGCTGTTATAATTCAGCACAGTGCCACTAGAGCAAAAGGTATTCCACTGATGTTCACAGATGTGCAAAATACGTAGATTTTTTTTTTCAATTAAAAAGGACTGAAATTGCACAAACTTAAGCCGTAGACAAATCCAAGTGACTAAGACCTTGCTGATTTTTATTCACTCTATGAGCAACAAATTCTACAGTCCCTTACCTATGTATTAAGTTTGGATTTCTATAGCTGTAATGGAATTCTGACAATAAAATTCCTGCAAATATTTTAGAGGTTGGGCTACATGAAGCTAGAAGATCGAATTCAGGAGTAACTGGTGACTACACAACCATTAGCCTTTTACCTAGAAAATTTATGAAGCTACTTAGCATATTTCATTGTCCACAGTTTTGAAGCACTCATGTCACAGAATTCTTTTGAAAATATCTCTGCCATTACAGTTTAACACTTGATTTTATGATCATCTTGAATACCATGAATGCCCAAGTTTATGCCACTTCAGCAACAAGTACCACAGCTTGTCTTGAAGGCGAAATGTGAACAGGAACATTGAGCTCCTCTATCCCAGATGGAGAGAAGCAACAGATCTTTCCATTGAAGATACATTAATAGAAGGGTTTCAGAAGATAAGCGAGGGGTTAGTTTCCTTCCCAGCACTAAGCTGCAACATACAAATAGTAATTTACAGAATAAGAAGAATGTTAGATAATGCATCAGTATAGATGACACATTTTAGGGTTACTAATATTGCATATGCTGCATTTAAAGGAATTGGAGAGGGAAAGCATACGATTCTGAAATAAGTTTCTGTTTGCCATCGTCCCTCTGCTCCCTGTGATTGCTGTACTGCAGAGAAGGAGATGTCTATCAGAGGAACGATGGTGCACGTAGCCAACGGTGGCTAGGGAAGGTTGCAGTGCTCGCACTCAGGGGAGTGCTACCACAATCATTATGATTTAGGGCACAGCTAGTCCTGGAAAGAAACCCTAGGGAGAGACAAGTTTTGAGGAGAAGTTTTATACCATTGCTCCTACTATTATTTCCAAGTTTCCAGTGTAGACAAATCCCAGGAAAGTAGAAATCAGAGAACTGCTCAGGTCTTGACGTGGAGAGGTTATAGACTCAAGCATTGTGTTACCACCTGCACAGGGACGTATTATCAATATGTGGTTGTCTCAAGAGACAAACTTCTGAATTTTATTTGCCATGTACGTGCTAAAGCTGGGGAGAGAGCCAGGTTTAGACAACTCAGCAATAGGGTTTCAGGTCATGTCTTTGCCTGTGTTGCTTAAATTAATTTCAGCGAACAAAACCTTAGGTTATACTTATGTCTTATTTACTGAAACAATACTGAATTGAATTTGGTAAATATGAGCTGTGTAAAAGCATAATTTTGTAGAGATACTCAGAAGGTTGACCTGTTTGTCAAAAATGCTCTGAATGTTTTCTGAAGGAAAACAAATTCTCTTTTGTTTTCCTTCTTCTGAAGTGTTCAGAATTAAATTTTCATTTAAGATATGCTGTGAGTTTAAACATTACACTTAAAGGCAGTTATTGTAAACTAATATTTAAAGCCAAATTTTGCTCTGATTTCTGCCACATGAAGCTACACTGTCTTCACGGTAATAGTGTGAATTAAAAAATCTCAGCATTGGCTCCAATTTACCTTCAAAAATGAAAAACCCTTAGCATAAACCGCATGCGAACAATTTATGAACGCAGTGTCCAAAGGTCTAGTGTTTAGTATCCCCTTGATCTAGCGTTTCACTATCTGCAGACGATTTGCAATGAGTATTGTGCTTGCGTTCTATTCGAGAGAGTAAGATAACAGATAATAAATATCTTTAATGGTTCATTTCTTTTACTCTCAAAATTCAAAGAAAGACACAGTGTGCTCCTGTGTCCTGCTATTTCAATTTTTGTAAGGTAATGAAAAATACAGAATGTATGGTGCTAACTGCATGTGATCTGTTGTAAGTTTTATTAACTAAAACCAGAGCTATTTCTTGTTTCTGACCACAGCTTTGTATACCAGATACTGATAAAATATGCAGAAAGTACAGAGACCAAGGCAAGCTAATCACCAACTTTTGTTCTAAGAATATTTTGCTCTGCAATGTAGGTGATTGTGATTCAGCATAAAAGGCAGCTGTATGCCATTCAGTACTCACCTTCATTGAAAAGGAAAAGGAATGAACATCCAGCCTTCTAACTTCGGTGAGATTCATTTCTGCTTTCTCTCTCAGTCTTTGTTAAAGAAGAAAAAAATTTAATGATACTATTCTCATTATACAGCTATCAGTTACATAAAATATCTTTGTTTAGAGGCCTAATAAAACTGGTCATATAAAGAGGAAATGAGATTTTTAATGTAAAATGAAGCTGACAGTGCTCTTCTATTACTATGGTCTTATTAGGGAAAAATTCTCTGACATCTGTTTATCCCCTGCAGCCAACCTTGTATTCAGAATACAGTAATTGATTCACAGCATCCACTGGGGATCTAACTGGCTCACTTTTCCACACCGCACTACACAGGTATCTCCGCAGCTAATTCTGAATGTACATCTACATCGTTATCTCCTGGTGAACTGTGACCCGAAACACTTTGGAGGCCCAGATGAAAGTGCTTCCTCACCCCTCCAGTGCTGGGGGTGCAGGCGTTTCTGCAGCGCGGCAATTCACCCAGGACACCCAATCACAACCAGCCCCTTTGAAGCCCCGCTCAGCTGGGAGACCATGAATGATTCATGGCTTCTCTACACACACTAAAGGGGGAAGAGCAAAGCTAGTGTGTATTATTCAGGACTGCATCCTCAATAAGGCTCCGTGTTCAGCAAATTGCTACAACGTTTTCTGCTTAGTCCTCACCTGTACACAACATCTCTTTTTGTGCACAATCTTCTCATTTTAGCAAAGATAGGCTGATTATCTAGGAGACTGTGTTAATTAACATCAGTACAAATAAAGAAGTCCGGTGTCTGTGCATAAAGCCAGCGTTTAAAGGATTGTAAGGAAATTAGGGAAGACCAGACAATCATAGTTTTACAGCCGTTGAACTACAAATTTTTCTATTTTCCAACAAATTTTTCTATTTTCCGCTGCTATTTCCACTGCAGTAACTGTCATCACATAGCGCAGTTTGGAACTCAGTTTAGAATTGTGTTTCAGACTTTGTACATTCTTCTGAGGTCAGAAGTTGAAAGTGCTGCTACTTAGAGATAAAATTCAGAAAGTGGCAGAGGAAAAATCTAAGTCAGTCTTCATTGTCCTCTTTTCTCCATTGCTGACATACAGAGCAGTTAGCGCAACTAAAAGTCACTCATGAGAAGACAGACACGAGGGTGACTCAACTATAAAAAGCGGAGAGTCAAATAAACTGTTTTTATAACTGCAATTGTAACCTTAGAACTTCTCAAGACACTTGTCTTCAGAAATCACATACAACTGCTCATCATCATTTTCTCTTATTCCCCAGAACAATATTTATTTATTTAAAGAATTATGTTAATACAAATCTACTAAAAAAAGCCCTCCATGGGGATGCC